TCCGTATATCACAGAACTTTGCGAGATACCACACCCACATTTTCATTCATTTTTAGCGTGGAAGTTGCCAACAAATGTCGAAAAACTCATGAATTTTATAGATTCGAATAAAATAAAGCTAGCGATTGGTAAGACTGGTAAATAATATATCCCCCGATGCTCTTCGATTTTTTTTTATTTCAAGGTGAGAAATGGATAGTTGAAATTCCATCGATTTCAAGGTGACTGTTCCACCGCGATAACTCTACGCACTGTTGTAGTTTCGCGAGGTAAAAAAAAATATAATAAATAGTACTTGTTCATTATTTGGTTTTACAGCCCGCAAATTACGGGACATGATCCTGGTGAATTGCTATAAATAAATGCTGATTGTGTTGAATGACGGACGTCGGGACCATTTGGAGAAACCATGGAACTATAGGGGTTTATAGTTCCATGGAGAAACCAACGGGGATCGATATTCCAAACAAATTATTGGGACACGGTCGGTGGACCTTTCAAACAAATGAAATTATTAACGAAAGACGAGATTTTTCTAGATATTTACGAACAAATATATATCAAATATATGCAAAATTGACACAGAGAGGTGTAATATTAGGTTTTATTTTAGCCTTTATTTAATATTTTCTTTCACTCAGTCCATGCGTGGGAGTTCTATTTAGCTTCATGGTCCTTCGGCTTGTCTTCTCCTTGGGGGAAAACAACAATAATTCGAATTTACGACATCAGTGGACCAAAGCCGTCAAGAACACCAGGACATATTGGGATGGACCTTCTCCTTATAACGTTATCTGCAGTGCAATTTTACGCCCGAATCATTTATCAGTACAATTTCATTTGTTTCGATCTTGCAGTTGTAGGTATTCGTCCTACCGGAAATAGAACACGCGATCTATCGGACGCACACAAATTTACATTTTAGAGTGCAAATTTTCTAACATTACTGATACATTGTTTAGGTGGAGTTTAATAAAAATAACAACGTTAAGATTTTCGGTCACGATGTTCAAACTCTGTGCCTGTGTCTGAACCGGGTGCCTGAATCGTCATGGTCATTTTGGGGAGGTACACGGTCACCCACATGGCGTACTTTTCTCGCAGGTTCAAACCTGTATGGGCCACTTTGTCCCTGGCACTCTAAAACAAAATCGTGACATCTCTCGTTGTCATCATATTCCTCGATCTCACAACTCTCGTCAGACGATACTAAGATAGATTCCGTGTCGCTTTCCGAGCACTGCATGCGTATAGCGGCCATTGTGAAACAATGACAAATTCCCCCCGTGACGTCACAAATCACCCTTGTATGCTAATTAGGTTCTCTAGCTGAAGCCTCGTTCTGAGTCGGCCAAGAAATTGGACGTGAATGTTTCCTTATCCAGAACATTATTATTGGTCGTTTATTTAATTTATGTACATGTTTCACTTGATTTTTTTTCATAATGTTGTTTATAAATAAATTTTGCACACAAAAAAAGTCAATTGTCCCAATTCAGTTACACTTTAAGTGACATACTCACTAACCATTTACTGACATACATGTACTCATACATGTCATTGAGTGACGTACTCACTAGCGATTATTTAGTAACATACTAACTAGCAATTATTGAGTGACATACTCACAAGCCATTATTGAGTGACATACTCACAAGCCATTATTGAGTGACGTACTCACTAGCCATTATTGAGTGACGTACTCACTAGCCATTATTGAGTGACGTACTCACTAGCCATTATTGAGTGACATACTCACAAGCCATTATTGAGTGACATACTCACAAGCCATTATTGAGTGACATACTCACAAGCCATTATTGAGTGACGTACTCACAAGCCATTATTGAGTGACGTACTCAAGGCAATATTTTTCAGTCCTAAAATCATAGGTACCATATATTAGATTCACTGACTTTTTCTTCCTTCTAATGAACAATCTTGATGTGAGATTTGACAATTACATTGTACATGCTACAACAGTGTTACTGTTTATCATAAAGTATTTAATATTATGATAAATCACAGCCTGGAAGAGAAAATGCACACTATAATGGGAGAAACCAATGATATGTCTGGTAATCTGTATATTACACCAAGAGAGGCTGTAGAACAACTAAACCAATGTGCTCTACTAGAAAGAGCTGCTTGTTTGCCACCAGAACCTGAAGATGTCAATAAACTTCTTAGAAAAATTGTGAGTCATTTTCTATTTTAACACTGGTTAAATCATGGGTTTTGTTTATCAAGTAAACAGTCAATATGAAATCAAGCACAGGGTCAAGTAATGCTTTGAATGCCAAAATTTAGGTCCAAATCATGGTTACATTCCATAAAATGATTAAATTGCAGTTGCTTGTTTTAGATTCTGATATTGCTCTGGTGTATTTGTTGCACATTCTTAATACATTTATCAATATCCCATCAATATTGTGGTGCAGTATTTTGTCTGTTTTTATGTAATTTCTGCTGGAAAAACAAAATATGCAATATTTTTTTGTGAGAGAAAGGTAGACTTTTGAGCACAAAGGGTTAAACATGATGTACTCTTCTGATTTGAGTTATGTGTCAAATATGTATTTCTTTGGAATTTTACAAATTACACTAAAACTGCACACAGTTAAGTAATATTTAGAGTTAGTTTAACCTTTTCACCACCAGGCTTTCTTGCCCAAATTTTTCTGCGCTTGTTTTCTTATATGTTTCAATATTTCTGGAAATGAACCCTAATTTTGGAGCCAACTGACAAAATTTGAGTCAATGTTTAGTTTTCACTCAAAAAATTTGGCTATTTCTGTCTGAAGGTAAGTGCGGACTATAAACAGGACTTTTTTGTGAATTTGTGATGAGGGAACTGGTGGTGAGTAGGTTAATTCAATGTACACAACCATTTGATTGAAATGTTCATGTTATAACATATCATCACTCATATTACAGTTACAAACTTTGGATAAATATCCTGGTAATGAAGAAAGTATATTTCAGAATTTACTGATGATGTCATCACAAGATGGCATCGCTATTCCAATCCGAGCCATTCCAGAAACCACTGATTCTACCGTATCTATCAATGCTGTTACCCACAACTCAGAAGAAATGAACGAAACCTTATGGGATGAAATACGCTTAAAATTTCGAAGGTTTTTTTATGAGGAACTGCAAACGTTTCCACTCACACGTAATCCAGACATTGTTGATGTAAGTCAAAACAAGCGATGGGAATATTTACAAAGCCTTTGTATCCTATATCCACACAAGGAAGTCTGGAAAAGATATCGATCCATACGTGCTCAACAATTGGAGTGTATCATTAACAATAAACTTCCAAGACCTGAAACGCAAGAAGAAGAAGGAGAAATCAAACTACAAACTATCACACCAGCATTTCAGGAAGTTACTGAAGTCATAAGAGGGATGATAAGTGATGACGTTGAGATTTTGATGTCAGGGGTATTCGAAGATGTTGTCCAGGCTTTTCCAGCAATCCAAGAACTCTATTTGGACCGATTATCAGAAACTATTATTTATATCATCGATAAAGTTTGGATTTACTGGTCTAAAGAAAATGCTGTGGGAGATGGAAACAAAACAAGGGCTAATGATGTTCATAAAAATAAAGATGCTTATCACAATAACACTGGTAAGGGAAAGATTGTTAATTAATTGTGTTG